CTGCACTGTTTCATGTGTTACCTTCTTACAGGTTTCTCTTCCTCTAAACCAGAAATGTTACCCTTCTCTTGGCTGTTTATTTTATGAAGAAGAGTGCACTCACGCTGCTCTGACTGTTGTCAGTCCCTCTTATTTAATCTCAGAGTTAAATACTTGCCAATGCTTTCTTTTCATAATAAAATCTTAGTCAGCTCATATATTATTCCAGATGCAACTACCTAATGTCTGCCCATTAGCGCAACAGTTTCATAGTTGTGTACTTATATTCCCATTCTAAAATGCTTTTCCTTCTCATCACACCTATTTTAAATTATCTTTGGTTTTAAAACCGTTGCCCTACCCATGAGTACTGCGGGGGCTCTTGTTTAATCCAGCAGTGACCACTTTGGACCATCACCTTTCGGGTGTGATTTCTCTGCTGTGTTCTTTCATTTCCTTTTTCTGTTTGGAAGGCAATGTGGCAGGATGATGTTTATGAGAGGAGGGGGCTGGCAGGAGGCAGATTCCTCCTAAATTAGCCACTTAAAACGTAGAGATTTTGAAAACCTTTGCCTGTTTTTGTATTTATTCCATGATAAAAATGTGTGTTGCCTTTGTTCTTTAGATTCTGGGCAACGTTTTTGACTTTTATTTACACTCCTCTTGGATTTGGTAAGAAACAGTGCAGCTGAGAGAATGTTTAAATGATGCTGTCATGCCTTGTTACAGCTCTGCAGCTGGTTACATGGAACCTCTGCTCTTGCTTCTTAGGCAGCTATAAATTAATTTTTAAAGCCATCCTAAAAGTAGCAAGTGTGTAGTGTTGTAACTCTGTCCCAATATTTTTTTTCTCCAGCCTCTCACTCCTTAGAGGCTAAACGGGATTGAAAATTTGGCTATCTCCACCTTTCTTGTGATATTTAAAATTTTAAATATGAAAATGTGTGACATGTAAAAACATGTACAGATAATTCCCAGTTTGAGAATTGTCAAATCAACTGTGGGAACACAGCTGCTTATGACAAAACCCAAATTCTAGTTCTAATGATACTATTTCATTTACATCCAACCAGGATTTGTAATGCCATTTCTATTGGAGAACTATGTTCCCATGTTCCTCTTGACAGGATGCAGGGTTTAGAAGCACAGTGGGTGGAGAGAGGGTAGAGGGAAGCTTCTGGGGAACTTCAGAAAGTAGTTTGAAATATGTTGCCTCACTTTCAATCATACTTTTTCCTGTACTTCAAGTAGAAGAATGTATTTTCTTGCGTAACTTGGGGAAGCTGCACTGT